CCAGTATCATCCCCCTCCTGGGTTACTGCAATGAACTCTCTGCCTATATTGATGTCTCCATCAGTATCTTCACACAGCAGTCAGAGTGGTCCTTTAAAAATTCCAGATGTGTCACTGCTTTGGTCAAAACCTACAATGGCGAACCATCCAATTCCAGACACAATGCTGCCCGTGATCATTACAACTCTTTTGTCTTCACTCACTGTAATCTATCCGCTATACGTGGAAACAAAGGCTAGGGTGCCCAGCCTCAGGGCTTCTGCGCTTGCTGATCTTCTCCAGAACATACCAAGATGGCACCTTTCCTCTTCCAGGCTTCCTGCCTGTATTGCTCTGTTAGTGTGGCCTCTCTTCCTCAACAACCAACCGGCCAGCCTCTATCCCACACCCTCCTAGCATTTTTCCAGAGCACTTTTCTGGCAATCTGGCAAACCACGTAGACTTTATCAGGGTAAAAACTCTGAGCTTTTCTAGAGAGTACAAAGTGATTTCAAGCAGAGTCTATTGTGTTGTATTAGTTTTTGTACAGCTTGATCTAAGTCTTGCTTTTTGTTGATGTGTTTGCTTTAAGCAAAGAAGTGTGGAAAACAACAATTCTTAATATTTATATTGCAAGTGTGCAGCTCTCTGTGTGCTTTCACATTCATAATCTAATTAGTTCTTATAGAAGCCTCATCTATTACACAGAAGAAATGTCAGTATAATGCTGCCTCACAGGACAATTAAAATACAGAGATTGACATGGTTCATGGTGGGGGAAGACAGCAGAAATCACATTGTTTCTCAAAATTTCACGTCATTTTGTAGATTTTGGCCATGAAAATTTGTAATTATAGAAGAAATTATCATTTTAACTAAAAATGAAAATCTGATGGTTTGATGGTTTAAAGTTATTTGTCCTACACTTGCTTTTGTATTTAATGTGTTTTTCATTTGTATCAACCTATTTTTAGGAATATTTTCTTCTTCTCCTTGTGAACTACAATGCCCTTGAATTTTTGCAGAGCAACTACACACGCCCTTCTTTCAAAAGCAATTAAATTTTTCCATTGATTGAGCACTAATACAATGATCCTAATAGTATGCTGAAAATCTTTCCTTACTAAAAACATGTTCTTTTTCATACCTCTTCTTAATAATATGAATAACAAAGCAATAAGAAAAGAAAGCTTACAAGTTACACTGTATAGTAAATAATGGTTGGAAAACATTTTTGATATTCATCATATTTACGGCTTTGATGTCTATTTTCTTAATGATTATAACAATAACACCTGTAATGACAAACCAATGCCATGCTGAAGTTCAAATGGAAATTAATACAATCACGAACAGGAAGGAGGCACCTACCCCTTTCACTTGAGCAGCGTCACTGGCGAGCCTGGCAGTCAATGCTCCAGTGGTGTTTTTAGGGTCATCGAACCAGCTCACATCCTGTGGCACGAGAGATTTTATCATATTAAAACTCTATTTATGAGATTCATTGTTCCAGGTGGAAAATGACGTGGTCACTTTAGCTTATTACTTATATCCCCTGCATTTGACTTTCAGGATTTGCTGTTCCATACACAACAAAGAGAATGAATACACAAGGCATCAATACATTTTTTCATCTTTCAAAGGTTTTCTTGATCAGAAGACACAAAACTGGATACTACACACTGGTGGAGGGAACAATTCAACAGGAAGAGATAATAATTGTAAATATGTGTGTGCTGGATGTCAGCACAAACAACATCATAAAGCAAAAACTACTGGACTTAAAAGGACAGGTGGACACCAATCCCATCATAGTGGAAGATTTGTCAATACCCCAATCTCACAAATAGACAGGTGAGCTACACAAAAAATCAACAAAGAAATATCAGAGTTAAATCACACCACTGAACCAATGGATTTAACAGGTATCTACAGAGTATTTCACCCAATAAAAACAGAATTGACATCTTTCTCAGCAGCACGTGAATGTTATTTAAAAAGACACAATATCTGGCCCCAGAACACTCTCGGAGGCCGGCACTGCCTCCGCAACTTTGGAACTGTCTCAAGGAGGCCAGCCGCTCAGACCACACTGTGAAGTGACCAGCCGCAGCACGGGCCACATCCCCAGACCACACTGCGTGGGCCACAGTTCCCCAAGGCAGAGGTGCAAGGGCGGGGTGGGGCATAAAGGCCATTGTTATGAGCTCCAGAAGATAGAGCAGAAGGGCACAACAGAGAGAGGGCCTCTCTGAGGCTCCTCAATGAAACTGAAGCCCACTGAGAAAGTGAAGAAAATCTCTGCAATGAAGGCACACCAGACCACTGTGGTTGGTAAGTTGGTGGGAACAGCACCTCCCATAGGAACCTGGACTTGCTTCAGGAGAAGGGCAGCTGGAACCTGCAGTAGAACCTTGCAGAGTTCAATCCTGCAGGAGGTCAGGGACCTCAACTTGGGTCTTGCAAGCATAAATCAGCCTGAATCTCAGTGGTGGCTTGCTGAGACTAATCAACTTAGACCATCACAATGATCCCCAAGTTGTCTACTGTGAGAGCAGAGACATACCCTGAAGGAAGCCCTTTTATTTTTTCTTATTCTCTCTCTCCTTTTAAAAAAATTTATATATATAAATATCCCAATTCCACAAAACAGAGGTAATTACTATGTATCGCAAACATATACCAATTTTGGTGGGGGGCAGGTAGAATTCAGCACCTAGTAGACAGACCTTAAAATATCTTTTCCATTAAGAAGTTTGGGGGCAACCTTAGGTTTGAACTGACAATCATCTTTGTCTAATGGTATTTCTTACTAAAGCCAATAACATTTACAGATACAAAAACATTATTAGGGATCTGCTTTTTTATTTTTTTGGTACCAGGGATCGAACTTGGGTCCTTGCGCTTGTGCAGCAGGTGGCAAAACCACTGAGCTAAATCCCCGGCCCCAGGATCTGCATTTTTAAGGTGTAGAAATGTAACAAAAGTTACCACAAGAGGTAGTATGATGGTGGGCAGCAGGGTGAATTTGTATTTTACTCTGAAAGAAATCCTAAGAATAGAGTACAACTATCCTGGAGGTACTGAGAATAATCAAGTTTCTATCTTTCCAAACAAACTTTTATATAACAAAATCTATTTCAATGATTTTCAGACAGGGAGTTTAAGAGTAATACATTTCTACAAGGCTACTTCTGAAAAAAATAAGATTACCCTGATAACAAGGTTTCCTTTAGTACCTAATAAAGCATCAAAGTTTAACAATTTCTGTAATGCTTGTTTTTAGATTCAACATCTTAAAATCATGCTCTTCATGAGCCTAAACACCAAAGGGCTAATACTTCTTTTTTCCTTTTGGAACTTTCTATTGTGAAGGTATGCAAAATTTTAACAGAAAAAAGAATTGTTACCTGAGGGTTTACTCCAGCAAGAGCCTGCAGCATTTGCTGAATGAACTGCTGGTGTCCAGGTTCAGTGGTCCCTGCTGTGGAGCTTGGGTTTTCACTAGGTGCAGCGTTAGACCCATTGGTTCCTGAAGAGCCTCCAGTATTTCCTAATGCCCCGAGGCCCGGAGTAAATCTAGGAAAACCACAAATACTGGAGAGGCCAGCCCTGACCAGACAGTACATCAAATTACATTTTAATATAGTAGGAATCCTTACAATAAGCATTTGTGACTTTGAAAACTCTAAAACTAATCGCAAAAAAAATTTAAAAAGCAGAATATTAAATTTCAATCTTCAGAGAAGTAACCATTATGCACTTTCATTATCTTCCCCAAATAAACTTACCCTGGGATAAGGCCAGGGGCTTCCGTTGCTAAAGTCTGTAAACCCTGCTGGATCTGTAACAAGGCCTGCATTGCTCTAGGGTTTGACATTGCTGACAGTGTATCAGGATTCTGCATCTAAGGAAGAAAGAAAACCAAAGGTTACAAAGGAAATAAAACCAATGAAGGTAAATTTTTACAACTCTTCTCTATGTTTTTGGAGAAAATCTAAAATCTTACTCCCAGACACCGGTACTCCATAATTTCTTTCCCAAAATAAACACGAGTCCTCCTCTTTCACAGCAAACCTGTGTAAATCATTGCTTGACCTCCTCCCAAGCCCATTATGAAATCCAGTTTCACAACAGAGAGCAATCGGGAGCTATGCTGGATGCCACAACTCTTTCCCTTCTCCAACAGAAGAAGAAAGTATTATTTCTAAGAGACAAACTCCAAATGTACGATTTGACCAACATGGTAATACGGTGAAAGCCGCATATTCCTCCTGACCAAGTGTTATCTGTTGCTGAAGTAACAATTTTAACAAAAAGGTAGACTAAAACAGTAAATCCACATTTGAAGTTAATACATGTATCCTCAGTTTAGCTTCACTACTTCCAAATATACACCACATGACTGACCAAAAAGATGGCTTACATCATTTACAGTAAGATCAAGGACACCAACTAACCTTGGATAATGGTTTACATGCCTGAGAATCATTTGCATAATATATAAAGCCTCAGCACTACCAGTTTCAAAACCACCAAGACTGACTTTTCTTTTATCTTCATAAATAATAAAATACCATAGTAATCTCAAGTACGTTTTTATACTGAAACTTTCTTATGACAATACCAACAAATTTAATCTCACTAATTCCAAATGTGAGGAAATGAGCTCTACCCCTTAGAAAATAGGCATTCTAATTTGGAAGAGCTTCCAGTGTTTCCTAATGCCCCCAGACCCAGAATAAATCTAAGAAAAGCACAAATACTAGGGGCCAGCCCTGACCAGATAGTACATCAAATTACATTTTAATATAGTAACATTAGAAAGTAACACTTAGAAAGAAACCAAATCTGTAAAATAAAATAGGGTAGCTCTTTCCTGTTACTCAAGATTAAAACCATAAAGTGTAACATGACACAAGAAAGCACTTCTAAGTTAGTAAAGTGAAAGGAAATGGTTTATGGTATTAACAAAGTATTCAAAAATCCCAAAAATCCTCAAAAGCAAAAATAAAAATCGTTCTTTCCTCAGAATTTGCTTAAGAAATATAAGCAAAAGATCAGCAGTGAAATGGGGCTTAGACAAGATCAAGGTGAATTCCTACAAACTGGGAGCAGTATCAATCTATTCTGTTTTGCTATCAGCCAGAGAAGAGAAGGAAAATGTTCATCATCAAACTATTTCAATCAAATCATTACCGAAGATAGCTAGCATCTTTTCTTACTCACTTGTTGGAGGAAAGTTGGGAGCTGTTGTCTCATTTGTTCTTGAAGCTGAGGATTTCCAGCAAATAGGGGATTATTCAGCATCATCTATGGGGCAAGTGTTCAAACAATTTTAACTGGAAATATCTGAAACAAGTAATGTATCTTGTTTAATATTCTATCTTCCCCCAAGTGCCCAAGCTGGCACTTAAAAGGAAGGAAGGTAGAACATAAATAAAAAAGAAGGGGAAATACTGTCCATAAGAGAGATTTGCAGAGGAAAAAAACCAAAAAACAAGGCATCTTGTCTCTCAGGGAAAATGGTGATTATGATAATGACATGCAATATCCTAAAAAGTAAAAATAATCATTTTTCTTTGGCTGTTCCTTGAGCAAGGGTGAATTTTTGCCTTTGAAAGAAAAATGGGAGTTAACTGGCTCTCATGCAAAAACTTTTTCTGCTACACTGACAGGATAAACATCAAAACATGAAACTATGTACATGGCTTGCTTACAAACCTCGACACCCAAGTGGCAAGCACAGAGAAAATCTAGATCTGGAATCACTGTTATCTACCTGCCTACTCCAAGACCAGCTAATATTAGGTCCAGAAAAATAACACCACAAAACAGTAACCAACTTGCCAGAGAAATGGAGCAGCTAGGTAAAAAATCAGCCAAAACATAGCACCAACTATCCTCTGGGAAAAGTTAAAATGTTTTAAGACCTGGAAGATGTAAATTCATTAGAGAACACCAAGATTAGCATCTGGATTTCACCTCACTACCACCAGAGATGAGAGAAGTGGCATATCGCCTAACCTTCAAACAGGTGTTAAGAATTTAAAAGTCAGGGCCAATGTTAACATGACGGTGGAATATCTGAAAATAAGATTACAATACACAATCAGCACAACCAGTAACTAATAAATTCTCATAGCTTCGAAAAAACTTGTATAGCATTCCCCCAAAGTAAAATGTCAACTAACAATGATTTACTAATAGCCTATTTACCTGTCCAAAGTCTGGGGTGGAAATGATCCTTGCCCTCCAGTAGTTAACCATATTTAAGAGCAATTACATATAAATGCTGAAAGAGAGATATCCCCCCTCCCTCCTTTAGTTCATCTGTTGTTGCAAGGCTGATTGGTTAGTTACTTTAAACCCAATAATCAATGCAAGAAGTTAGACAATGTTTTACTGATAAATGGTATTTATTTCAAGGTGATCAATAAGTTCACAGTAAATAATGCCTACTTGAAGACAACCTACTGCTTTAGTCAAGTACAGTATTTTTTACAAACATACTAATGAATTATCACATTTACTTTTCAATATGTTGTTTAAATTACCTTAGAAAAAACATGTCATCTTAAACTTTTTTCTCAAAAAAAAAAATCATTTCATTAGATAAGGATATTTCTCCTAACTTACCTGACTTCATGTCACAATCGATTAGTGTAAAAACCTCAGACAATATTTGAATATATAAAAATCAAAAGCAGAATAGAAAAACTATAAACTTTCATATTTTGGTAACTAAAGTACACTGTGACTATAATAAAAGAATCCACATCGAGCCTTCTTTGTCAATTTTATATTAGAAAAAAGCATGGGGAAGTGCTCAAGCCCTTTATAAACACAGAACTATCATATAGTACACAAAATTGGAAATGTACTTGCTTAAGTCACATTGCTTAAGCAAGATCACATCGAAGAATTATTAGTTGGCCAAATATATACTTGAAGACATACAAATAGGAACATTCTACATACATCATTTCCACATTTGTTGTAAACAAATGTGAACATTTTAGCTCTATTCACTATTAAAAATATCTCTGAGGGCTGGGGATTTAGCTCAGTGGTGCCGCCGGCTGCCTCCCAAGCACAAGGTCCCGAATTCAATCCCCAGTACCAAAAAAAAAAAAAAAAAAAAATCTCTGAATACATTAAACTAGGCATTTAATAACAGTAACTCAGTCTGATAATTTTCATATTACTAAAATAAATCTTTCATAAATGTACCTTGTACCTACAATCTGCCAAATTTTAAATATAAAAATTTTCCTACAAACTTGTGAGACAGTATCTCCCTCAGTTCCCAGAGTGGCCTCAAACTTGCACTCCTCCTATGTCTGATTTAAGCAACTGAGATTAGAGGCATGTGCTACCACATCAGACCAGAAGCTATTTTTAATAAACGGTAAATATAAACTATAGATGACCATGGCTTATTTCACATTCCCCTGGTTTTCAAGACCACTGGTGCAGAATCACCAAGGGATTTGAGGCATCTAAATAAATAATTACCTAATGCAATTATATCAAAACCCTGTAAGGGTGGGGTTGAAGCATCACAATACTGTTTTCAAAGCTTCCCAAGTGATCGTGAATGATTCAGCCAGTGTTGAGAGTCATTAATTCTCTTACTTACGGTCTCTTCAGAAACAAGTAAGAAAGTTAATAAATTATTAAAAGACCAGTATACTAACTAGAGTGGGAGCATCTATATTGAAAAGAAAGACAACACTGTTCCCTCAACTTGCCCTTTGCTTTAATGAACAATTTCAGGCTGATTTATAGCTGCACTGTTTAGCATAATAGTCTGAGAAATCTAATTACATATGAGCATTTCCACTGTATGAATACTGTTCCTAGTCACTTTTATTTATTTATTTATTTTTGGTACCAGGGATCAAACCTGGGTCCTTGCACTTGCGCAGCAGGCGGCGAAACCACTGAGCTAAATCCCCGGCCCTGTTCTTAGTCACCTTTAGGATCCACATTTCACAGAAGAGTATATCTTCAAGACACTGAGCAATCTGAAACTTTTATACTCATCTCCTAACTCAGTATGCATAGATATAACATAAATCTGTATTACATTCTAGTCAATGAACAGCACATTGTCTAGTCAATGAATGATAAAAATGATTATATGTGACATATTACCACTGTCCAAAGAAACAAACTGTCCAAAACACTGGAGATGTAATTTACCTACATTTCTATGTGATAAGAACACACAACACAAATGTGCCAGAATCCATCACTGAATAGGTCATTACCTCAATTTACTCTGCAGTCCTTTCTAATGCAATTCCAAACTCACCTGTGCAGCAAGGTCAGGATTCTGGCTCAGGGACTGCATCATGCTTCTCATGTAGGGGGCAGACAACATGTTCTGCATAAGTTGTGGATTTTCAGTTATTTGTTGCAACAAGCTCTGCATTCCTGGTGTGTTGAACATACTAGCTGAAAGTTTGTTTTGGAAAAAAAAAGACATATTAAGGAATACATAAAAGTTAAAGCTTAAAATACAATATACACTGCATTTAAATTTTAGCAACTGTAGGTGAGTATAGTCAATAGATTCACTTCATGTGACTTCAATTACCCACACTGTGGTCCCAAAATATTAAAGATTCCAGAAATAACAATACATGAATTTTAAATTGCACACTGTCCTAAGCAGTATGACGCTCAGACTTCTTGCTCTGTGCCTGTTGTCCAGCACACCAACAGTGCATATTCTGCCCACCCATCTGTCACAAGCAGGGCTGGTCTTCCAGTAACCCTTAATTTCACTCAATAATACTCCAAAGCACAAGAGCTGTGTTGCTGGTAATTCAGAGACACCATGAGCTCTCCTAAGTAAAGAGGTAAAGGTTTATGACCAAAAAAATCATGATGAGGTTGCTAAGATCTACAGTAAGAAAAAAAAAAACAACACAACTTGTGTCTGTAAAACTGAAGAAAAAGAAGTTCACACTAGTTTTGGTGTTGCCTCTCAAACTGTTACAGCCACCGTTCATGAAAGTGCTTAGTTAAGATGGAAAGAAAAGGGGCCGGGGATTTAGCTCAGTGGTTCTGCCACCTGCCTCACAAGTGCAAGGTCCCGAGTTTGATCCCAGGTACTCCCCCCAAAAAAAAGATGGAAAGAAAAGATATTAAATTTGCGTATTTGTGTATGTGTGTATAACAAAAAATACAGTATAGTGGATCAGTACTCTGGTTTTAGGCATCTGCTAGGAGTACTGGAATGTATGCCAAGCAGGACTTCTCTGTACACATTATACATAAATTGAACTAAGAAAGAATCCTAAAACTGGGATATCTAAAAGCATATGCCAAGCATATGCCAGTAAAGAAGGACTTATGAGTTTAAAATTCTGGTTACATTTACAGTAAAATCACATCTAGTGGCAGGACTAGGTTCTAAAGTCAATGTAAGGCAAAAATTAAGATACAGTAAAATTATTGTTGAAAAATACCATAAAGAAGTCTGAGGGGCTGGGGATTTAGCTCAGTGGCACAGCACCTGCCTTGCAAGTGCAAGGTCCTGAGTTTGATCCCCATTACCAAAAACAAATAAAAAAATAAAAAGTCTGAGTCAACTTTTCTTCCAGGCTTGAAAAAGATCATTCTCAATGAGAATCACATTCAGCACTCATTTTGGTCACACTTAAGAATGAAGGAAACTTTTGCACCTGGGACTGGAACAGATGCAAAGCCTCCACCCTCATTTTCTAGGAGTCCTGGGACATTTCACTGAGTGAAACAGCAGGCTTCTTTAACATTTAAGAGACCTCAGAGGATAGTAACTAAGAGTGGCACCTGAAGCCAGATTATCTGGTTCAAACCCAGCCTAACTATGGCACCTTGGGAAAGTTACTCAGCTTCACAATTCATTTCTCCATCTGTAAAATGGAGAAAATATCACTATTTGATAGGGTGAGGTGGTTGTGACCCCTAAATTAGTTAATATGCAAATGCTTAATATTATTCTCATTTTTCTTCTTTGCAGAGAGCTATAGCTACATTTACATGTATTCAATGTGATGACTCAACAATTTAGATAAATCTTGTCTGGAACCTATTTAACTTATACCCAGATTTTCAATTATTGACTAGATATACTCAAACTCAAATACATCCTAAAACTTATGCTAACTGAAGTCATTAGCTTTTTCATTTCCCTTTTTTCTTCCATCTAATGTACTTTTATCAGGCTTAAAACATTTGACACTTCCCATTTATCTTTTAAAAAGTTAATTATAATTCTGTTATCATTTTTTCCTATTTTCTCAAGTTGGAAATTTCATTTTAGTTTTATTCCACACAGCAGTGTTCAAGAATATTGTAAAACAGATTTGCAAATTACAGCAGGGCAGACCTAATCCACAACCTGTTTTTGTAGTAAATAATTGTACATTTTTAAGTGGCTTAGGAAAAAAAAAAATCTAATGAAGATAAATATTTTGTGAAATCTACCAAGTATCTGGAACTCAAATTGCAGTGTCTATAAATACCATTTTATTAGGGCAGTCGTTCAGACTTATTTATTGTCCATGGTGCATTTGTACTACAGAAGGAGAGCTGCAAGCACACGTAACAGATTGTGGCACAATCACTGTTTCACACTGCTGCTTAGTGTACCATAAATCAGTGACTCGGTTATAACTCATGTCACATAAAACCGCTGTAGCATCCTGTTCTTTTAATTACCAGTGAATACCAATCATGTTAGAAAAAGAAAAAAGAGGAAAATGGACTACAAATGTCTTGTTTTCAAGGCACAGTAGGTTAAATTTGCCAAATGAGATAGAAAAACACTGTGTCCTTACTTATAAGAAAGCAATGATCAGAAAAATTATAAAATTAAAATGAAGTATCTCACTGCAGCTAAATTTCTTTGCAAAAGTAAAAACTGAAAATAAGGATGCAACCAAAGTTTCCAAGTGCCCTGTTAGCCAATCAAGGCAAGTCATCAGCAGCCAAATAAATGTTCGAACTTTTGAGAATAGTTCCGATCTCCACCCCAAGAATTAAAGGTATTAGGCACAACACCAATACTCAATTTAAAAACACTGCAAATGATTTTAAAGGTATTCCTTGTTTAATGACTCAGCAAATGTTACTTTCAATTTGAAGATTGATCTACAATGCAATGGCATGCTAAATGCAAAAGCATCTAACAGAATTCTATAAATGCCTTCCAAAATGATGAATATAAATGCTATTAAAGCCATATACTTTGGAAATGAGGTCATACCTCAAAGGACACAGAAGTCTAATCATGTCAGTACTAACAGATGAACATTTGCAAAATTTTAATACAGGACACTGTGGGGCCCAATTAAACAAAATCTTATTCCCTGAAGGTCCATTCTTCTCATTACTAGGTGTTTTTGAGGAAAATACTTGATTACTGCTATAGTATAATGTCACCATTAAAAAATGTGGAAATTTGCTTCCTTGTGATAGAACAGTTCCAATTTTGCCTGTTGGCACAACCTTTAAAACATCTACCCATTCCTGCTCTAAGATTTCCTTACTTTCAAGATTAAGTGCTGACAAGGAAAAGAGGAGTCAGGAATTTCATCTTCACATGCATTTGTGTGCATATATGTATTATGTGCCAAACTTCAAAGAGTTGAGTAAGAATCTTAGTACTGTATAAATATGTTGACAATTTCGCAGAATATGTTCATTTTTGCTATTTCTTGATTCCTCTGATGGAAACATTATCAAGTTAAAAATCTCAGTAACAAGTTGTACAATTTTTTGTTAGGCAAAAGTTGCTATTTATCAACAACCACGTTATTAAGAAAAAACCCAACAGTCTATTAATCAGGATAACAGTTAAAATCTCTGCTCTATCTGTTCTATAATTTTTAAAGAGGGAACAATGCATCTCTCCCAAAGGACTGAATCAAATCTATAAGTAGAACAAAGGACATTTTTTTCTTGACTTATAAATGGTACTACAGGAGCCTAGCATGGTGGTGCAGGCCTGTAATTCCAGCACTTGGGAGGCTGAGGCTGAGGGATGACCATCTCAAAACTGACACAGTCTGAAACCTTGTCTCAAAAAAAGGGAATAAACCTGTATTACATCCAGAAACGTCAAGTGACACTGTGTTCTATAAAAGAGTATATACACCACTAGGATCATCAGTTACTCTCCCCATTCTGATTCTTCATTCAGCAATGAAGTTTTTAAAGTTCCTCACCCATAATACCTGCCATCTTTCCACCTACTCTGCCAAGATTCAGGCATTTCCTAAAACATACTCAAGCCCTCTCACTTTAGGGAAAATGTGCCCATGTTTCCAGTTCATCTTTCTTACATGCTAAGGATAAGGACTTTCTTACATGTTAGGACTACTATGGTTAGGATGAGTGTCTGCCAAGGCCCACGTGGGCAGGCACGGTCCCCACACCCTGGAATACTGGGTGGTGGTGGAACCTTTGGGAGGCAAGGCTCAGGGTTAGATCACTAGAATGTTCCCTAGAAGGAGAAAGTGGTCCCCGTTTTTTCTTTCACTTCCCAGCCCTAGAGGAGCTGATTGGCTTCTTTCACTGCAACCTGCCGCCACAATGTTCTACCTTCCTGAAAGCAGTGGAGACAAGCAACCATGGACTAAAACCTCTGAAATCATGAGGCAAAATAACCCTTTCCTCTCTTCAAGCTGATTTATCTTGAGTATGTGTTACAGCTGCAGAAAATTAACATGAGGACTAAAATTGTCACACTAATGATCTTGGACCTAATTCATGGATAAAATTAGGCATCTAATTTTTTAACTATGAATAGTTGGAAAAGACACCATAGTGGGGCACAGTGGTGCACAACTACAATCCCAGCACTTGGGAGACTAAGGCCAGCCTGAGTTACGTAGTTGGACCCTGTCTCCAAAAAAAAAAAAAAAAATCCATTTACTAGGTGTTGTTCAGAGAAAAGTGGACAGAAATAAACTTCTTACAATTTGTACATCATAATCTCTGGGCACATTACACAAACAGATCTTAAAAACCCTGCTACAAAATACTCTACTCCACAAGATCTGAGCTTAAACACCTGGAAATCTGATTTTTAACGAGCCTCATCTAGAAAATGAAACCAGACTAAATCCAGGGAACATGGATGTGTTCTATCCTGCATACAGCTTACTGCTGCTGAACGAAGTCCATCACCGACTCTAACACTCTCTTATGAGCATTTAAAAACACAAAACTGTCCCTGGAAATCTTCAGTAACATTTTCCACTATCATGCCCACAGGTGAATTTTTTTTGAACATATTTAAAGATATCTTTAGAAAACAAAAACTCTGCTTATGACTGGATCCAAGCATAGGAACCCATCTGGACTACTGGATGTCGGGCTCTGAGGACCTTCCCAAAGACACCAGAAGCAATCACAGAGGAAATAAACTAGGCTCACTGAGAAACAACCAGAAGTTATTCTATATAAATCCATACCCGAGCCCAGACTTTCAGGAAAAAAAAAAAAAAAAAAGGCCTCAGACATAGACATACATCTAAATAGAATCAATGTAATACAATCTTGTCTTTCCTTTCACAGAGTATACTGCAGGTTTGGTTTAAATGCACAGAGCAAAACTGAAGAAGCACAACACAAACATATTCAACAAGAAGCCCAACAAAACTTATCTACGGATGAAGTCAAGACCAGTCTCTTCCAGAGCAACATGGACGTAACACCCATATCCCCTACCTGTACCTATACTGGAGCTAGTTTATACAGATCATCTGACAGCCTCGTTCCAACTCAGCAGATGTCCCAATTTTAAGGTCTCCAGACACCATACTGTCAGTCACAAAATGGTCCATTTTGTCTCCTCCAAGATATAACTATATACTGTGTTTACTCCATTTTGGAATGCCAAGATTTTTCTTCTATTCATCTCTACAGTACAGTGAAGCTGGGCAAGAAAGGTCACATATATTATAATGATTCCCCTACAAGACCAATACAGATCAAACTAGAGATACACAAACATAGATGGATTTCAAAAACAGACTAAAAGAAAATGAGATGCGTAAAAGAAAATAAGACCCACCCCACCAAAAAAGCTATATACTGTATCAATTCCACTTGTATGAATTCCTAGAACAAGGAAAACTGATTTGTAATGGCTGTTCACATGGCAGAACTGAAGAGCAAGCAACACAAAAACAAATTTATTGGGCTGACAAAAATGTTTCATGTCTTAATTAGTGTGCCAGTAACCTGGGTATATAAAGTCATGGAAATGTCCAAAACTGGATATCAAATTTGCATCATATTTTATATAAATTACATCTCAATCAAAATATTTCTAACAGAGTTAGTAAGGGCAGTTCTCTCTTCACCTTCCTCCCTTTTTCTTTGATGGCTGCCTTATTTTTCAATTCTTTTGGTCACATCCTCAGCCATCATTTTACATGCCCTGGGGGTTACCTGAACAACCCATACTCAAGCTCCCTCCAGTAGTTCTGGGTTCTCCAATTATGTTCTATAAATGCTAACTAGGTATAATCCATTACTTTAAAAATTTTACATTATTCCTTTGCTCAAAATCTGTGAATAAGTTCTCAACATTTAATGTATAGAATGTATAACATGGTGACTATACTAAATACCTGAAAATTGCTAACAGACTACTGTCCTCACTCAAGAAAATAATAAATATATGAAGTGACATGCATGTTAATCAGCTTGATTTAATCATTCTACAATTTACACATGTCAAAATATCATGTTGTACGCTGTTAAGTATATAATTTTATCCTCCCTCTCAAAATAATATCCCACAAAACTTGCAACATCGAAAGTTACCTCACAAAAGGTATATATTATATACTCACAGAAAAGCACAAAGAACAATATGGTAATATTTTCATTATTAAGTTAGGATAATGAAAAAATCATGAATTATTACATACATACCTCCTACTCCAGGCACCAAATTTGGCCCAGTAGTACTCTGCCCAGCTGTGCCACTGGTAGCACTATCAGCAGTGCCACTCATAGTGTTGGTGGTGCCACTAGAGGCTGAAGAACTCTGGGAAGTCTGTGGAGCCCATGGGTTGGGTAGTGGATCTCTATTTTCTGTCCGAGAAGGCTGACTACCTTCACCTGAAGATGTATTGCTCACTAAGGAAGCAAATGGATTACCACCAAACTGTAATAAAAGACACAAAAATCTTAAATAAAATCTTGTATTTAATAACAAATATTGAACTATTTTCTAATGCAATCACAGTCCCTATAAAAGTACCCCTCAATCACAAACATCATATGTGTTAGATAGTGCTACTCCCAGGGCCTGACCCTGGAGGCAGTGGGTCACCTGCTCTTGCGCAGCACTCAGCATTGGCTCCTGAATATCCGTGTACATGCGCCGTAAAGCATTGTATCCCCCTGGGATACTTTCTAGGTTGCTCAAGGCTCGGTCCTGGTTTCGCATCATTTCCTGCATCATTGCTGGATTCCTGGCAAGTTCCAATGTCTAAGAAAAAGATTTCCAGTTTAATAAAAAGCACTGAAATGCACATGATTTCTCTAGCTATTAAATACTGTTAAAAGTTTATGACCAGCCCATGTTTTGGACTAGCAGACTCCTGCACTGAGGCCCAGCACACTAGACCAAATCAGAATGGAGTTGCTTATGTTAAGTGCTACAAGATCAAACTAAACTTTGAAAAAGTTAGTTTAAAAAACAAACAGGAGATTCCAGTTAACCTGAGTCAGCATAGTAACCCTATTGGGAAAGTAATTTGTAACAACCAATCTGCTTCTTTGTTCCCTGTTTCTACTTTCTTCAACCCTTTTCAGTCTCCTAAAAGCAAAATTCCTTTATACTCAGTGCATGAGAACACTCAAATTTTATAGAATGTAGTGTCATCTGATTCTAGAATCATAAATAAAAGCTACTAGAGCTTTAAAACAAAATTTTTATATTCAAATCAGAAAATCATTTTAAATAGTTCCTGGTGGATTTTAGCTCAAAAAACAAACAAACATTCAAATTATATATGAAGAAGGAAGCACTTGGTTATAAGTTTATTGCCTATCTCCAGAACTGGACTTGTTTCTTATACCTTCAAATAAACTATTTAAAATTAACTTTCAAATGTAGCAGAAAATCCAGAGTTCAAATAATCTAAATTTAATACTTTGTTGAGTTTTCCTAAACTAGGATTAAGATTTCTTTTTAGTTTGACAGTATATATGAGGTCATCTCTAGAATGTGGAAAATTAATATACAACTTTTTAGCTAAATGAATGAATTTTCTACATACTTGTCTCATTATATCTGGATTATTCAGCATATGACTAATTTCTGGGTTTCTCTGTATCAACTGCTGCATCTGTGGATTAGCCATAATTAACTGCCTCATCAGGTCAGGATTTGAGAGCATGCTCTGGACGAAGGGATTTTCCATAATCTGGACCATCATTTCAGGGTTGGACAAAAGTTGTCGCTGCATTTGGCTCTGCAGTTCAGAGAAGTTGGTGGTATTCAACCCCAAGCTACTCAGACCTGCAAGCCCTCCAAGGCCACCTAAGAGGATAAGGAGAGAAAAAAACATAAACTGAGCCACAAACTTTATCATCACAACTGGGCTAAAAGATGAAGATGCAAAATTATCAACTGACTCAATACACCACTAAAAGAAACCATTTTAAAACAAAAGTAGAATTTCTACTACTTACACATTTAATTCCTAAAACTGAAATTAGCCAAGTGATAAAATATAAGTGATAAAACCCAAAAAATATTTTCATGTGTGTAGTATAATACCAAACAGGTGATCAATGCATATGGTAAATGTTTAAATTTTAATTTATTACAGTAAAAGACACCTTTCCATTCATGCTCCTCAAAATCCTCCCCATAGCTTTAAACACACTTATCCCATCATTCTTGCACTTTTCTTGATGCAGTTCTGGAAGTTCTCTTTCCTAAGTATCTTTACAAGGTGTGATCAAAAACACTGTAAATGCTGCCGTCAAATGCCATCCAATGGAAAGGCAGGCTTGTAAAAACATTACAATGTGTCCTCATCACCTTATTCACTCAATCTCACATCATAATTTCTGGCACTTCCCCAAAGCCAAGATGATTATATAAGGTACAGACTGGGGATATAGCTCAGCGGTACAGTTCTTGACCACCATTTGCACTGGACTACATTTCTAATAATCTTTTTCCACAATACTAGTTTAAGTTTAGCAAGTAGAATTCACCTACAAAATCTGGTTAGAACAGAGCTCCTGCTATCAAGGAGAGAGAAAGCAGGGGAATACTGTGGCAACAGGTAGCTCTTGGAAGGCATTAAATCAGAGAAAAACCTAACATATTTAAGAGAATGATTAGATGCTTACTGGAAAATGTTTACTCTGTGAAATTATATAACAAAACAAACGCATTAATTCCTCACTTAATGAGCACTTCCTATGTATGCTAGGAACTGTACTACATGTTGGGAATAAGAGGAAAAATAGACAAGGGGGAAAAAGCCAACATGAATATGAGTAAGTACTTCAACATTCACAAAAGTTATTACAATAATATAGTACCTAACTGGACTGGCTGCTTTCCAAAGAAGTGATACTAATGAATTTGAAAAATAAGTTGGCAAGGAGAAGTGATGAAGGCTGGAGGCATTTAATACAAAGTACAATGAATGCAATATACAAAAAAATCAGCAATAAATATACTAATGCATTCTTGAAATCAACAAAAATTCAGTATGACCAATACGGCAAGGAGCAGTGCTCACAAATATCACAGCCTTGTATTTCTTTTGCACTTGGGACAGGCTCATATGACAAGTTATGGCCAAAGGACTGCAGGAAATGATGTGTGGCACTTCTGGCTAAAGCAACGCCAAGCTAGCTTGAAATTCTTCAGCTGTTTCTTCCACCACGTTCCAAGTGCTATAGCCATAAGATAGAAAAATTTCATGAGCCTGAGTCTCTGAAAGACTACATGGATGGGGGCCTCACGGACAATTTAAAAAAATAAATAAAAATGTGTTGCATGCAAGAAAGCTTTGTGGCAAGAAATGAAGCTTTGTTGCAGTAAGCCATAGTACTCAGGGTCATCTCTTATCACACCATGATTTAAATAACTGCTGAAATGGAAGACTGAGGATGGACACAAGGGAAAATCTTTCAAGAGACTTGAAAGAGCCATGCATGGCACTGTATGCCTGTAATACAAGGTATTCAGGGGGCTGAAGCAGAAAGATCCCAAGTTCAAGGGTAGCCTTGGCAACTTAGTGACATCCTGTCTCAAAATAAAAAATACAAAAGGCTAGGAATGTATGTAGCTTAGAGTAAAGTGCCCGAGGATAAACTGAGACTGGAGGGACATACTTCAAAGGTTTTAAGAATAATCATTTGAGCTATTTTTGTAATAGCACTGTGGAAACAGAGAAAACATGACACATGAAAAAAGTTCAGAGCCTGCATCAATGAAGTGACAAAGAGGAATAACAACATGAGGTGGGACAGAGAAGAGGTTATGGACCAAGAGACTGGTGGGGCAATGTAGCCATCTGTGGAACAAGATGCTAAATTTTTGTATTTGTTTTCAGAGGAGACACAGGCTAAATGAGTTACTTAGAGAATATAAGGTAATATCGAAAAGGAAGAAATACAAGGCATGGAGACAGAAATTAGGGGTAGGAATCAGAGTGCAAATGAAGAGATGAGGGAGCGGTATAGTCTCAGACCAATTAATTAAAAGCTTCTCTATCCCTCAAAATTTTTGCCTATAAAATGAAGAGGGGAGAAATTTACCAACAATACCTTTTATAGGTATGAACACTAAACAGTTTCTTCCTAATCTTTCTACATTGTTCATGTTAATAATTTTGCCATTTAAAACTATTTGCCTCAACAAAAGATACATTTAGCATAACATCCTTAAAAAAAAAGAGCACCAAACATTTAAAGGGGGAAAAAAAAGCAAATGTGAATATTCTAATACATGCAATATTCTAAAATTGTTCCAATATGTATCTTAATACAAATGAACTACTAAAATAAACCTATGGAAAGGATAAAAGTTATGATCCTTGATATGTAAAAATTGTGAATATAAAAAACACCATTTCAATGAACGACATAGTAGTCATATAACTTAAGAATTGAAAGAGGCATTAAGCTATTCATCTATCTAGTTCACTTTAGTTAGCTTCTGAATATTTTTCCTCAAAATCTCTCACAGAATTTCAACATATAAAACTGATACAAGTGGTTTTGGCTAATGCAGAAAAATCCTTAAAACACTGTGCTTGCTCTTAGGACACAGCCCTTCCATGTGTTCTGGACAGTTAGAGAAGTCACTAATGGAGTCTAATATCCATATTTTATAAATGAGACAATTATTATTCACTTGATCGGTTTATGATCACCTATTACCTCAGATACAATTCCTCAGATGCAAATTATGTAGTGGACAGATCATATAAATATATAATATATATAATTGTATTATATTATATATTTTGTTAAAGTGTCACTAATTGACCACTGATTAAATGCAAACATAAGCTATAATAACATAATGCAAGCATACCTGTACTGTCAACTACTTTCTTAATGCCTACAATTACAAAAATTATAGAAGGGTTTTTAAATTGTTGTTAAAAGGACTTAATGTTTTGTTCTATCATTTCATCTAAAACCACCATGGGGGGGGGAGTAGTTGTTTGCTTTTTCATCACTATAAAAATAATTAAAGACACATACCTAATCCAAAGGGATTGTTAGTAGCAGATGTAGAGTTACTATTTGGAGCTGATGAAGTGGTAACATTGCCCCCAGGGCTATTTGTCTGCTGAGCTGAATGATCTTGAGATCTA